TTTGTAAATATGGCTAAGTCAAGTTCTCTTTCCTGAAGCAGGATATAGTTTGGACATAGATCAAAAGTAATAAAGAGTAGAATGATAAAAGGTTCCAGGCAAAATTCCAAATGGGAGAACCAACAAAAACTTTTAGATTACAATGCCCCCCCCCTCAATGAAAGGATCATTAGAGAACATGGAAAGGCAGATCAGGTTAAGGTCTGTCTGTATCTGTCTGTCTGTCTGTCTGTCTATCATCTGTCTATCTATCTATCATCTATCTATCATCTATCTATCTGTAATGCATATGTAAAATGGAGTCAAGAAAGTATGTAATTTTTACACACCTGGGCTGTAGAATGCCTAAAGGGATGTAGTGGTGTACATAAGTCTTAAAAAGATAATCTCAGCCTAGAGAATGTAGACTTGGATGTTAAAATATCTAGACTCATCCTGTAGGTCAGAGTGAGAAAGTGCTAGCATACCCCTTCTCACAATATGAAGGATAAAACCGGCGGAAGAGATCAAAGGCCTGAAGACAGGTTAGCAGTTTGTTTAATAAGAGATTCCAGAACAATGTTGAAGGGGACCCATCAGTGTACAGGGGTAGCTGAGGAGGAAAAATTTTCAAAATGAAATATTTGATAAATTTGGCTGTGAGGAAAAAACAAATATGTCAGTAATATTACCAGTCATAACACATTTATTATGAGGCATAGATATCAAGTTAGGAACTTTAGATGATGTTGCTTTTTGGCCACCATGATGGAGATGCTGAGTGTTGCTGTGAGTGGGTGAAATTTGGAGGTGTTAACTCAGTCAAGTTGGAGGAATTAACTCGGAGAAGTGTCAACTGAAGATGGAAGTGGAAGATTGTCAAATAAGTTGTAGCTAGTGAGCTCAGTTTTGAGACATTACTGAGATGTTCATTTCCAACCTTGCACTTGGACATCAAGACTACAGATACTCCAAGGCAATCAGTAGGTGAGGAAGGAGAAGGCATGGGAACACATGTAGACTCAGGGTCTTGTGCCTGAGGAGGAATGTATACTGTGGAGGAGCATCTAGATTTAGGGTAAAGACAGAGAACAGAGAGCAGATGCAGGCCAAGGAGGATAGGAGGTAGAAGGATAGGGGCAGACATGTCTGAAGATGGCTGAGAGTGGTTGTGTGGGCTGACCCAGGGCCTCCTCTCAGTGGTGTGCTAAGCACATGGAACCAGCCAGCCAGCCAGGCGCGTATGGGGCAAGAGGATGTGCATTCAGGACTCAGCTTGGATCCAGATCTTCTGTGTTGGCAGGCAGGAGTGGACTGAGGCTGGGAGGGGGGTCGGCAGACCAGGTAGCATGTGCAGGACAGAGGTGCTGGGAGCCAGTGATCGAGAGGGCCTGTGCCAGAGTTTGAGCCCTAGAGACAGTGAAATATTTACTGCTAAAACCTTACCAAGTCTCATTTTGTTTGTTATTTTTTTATAATTTAGAAGGTTTTTTGTTTGTTTGGTTGTGTCTCAAGTATGTTATAAACAGCAATTAATTAGAAGAAACTTATTTGTTAGTAGGATGCCTAAAAATAGGAATATGACTGTGGTTGCTTTCGACTGTATATGCAGAGGAACCTGGATATACTGAGATGGCTAGTTCTCCAAGACGAGGGCAGGGCTGAGTCAGGCACATGCTATGTCTGCAGTGGTGCAGGGGAAGGGGAGAAGCAGAGCTCACTAATGAGAACTATCATTCCAATAAGGTTCCAAGACCTAATATCTAGGAAGAAGTTTTGTGGTAGTGGAAGATGCTGATGTTGACTCAAGCAATTAGGCATGCCAGCTTGACATGCAGTCTTCTTTTGCTCAGTAGTGTGTTAAGAGACATGCACTTCCATTAGTGACATCAGATGTGCTGTATAGGATGTCTGTGTGTTGGTTGGCTCCCTTATAGTTCTCTTCCTTCCTGGTCTGGAGTCAGGAGCGAGGAGGAAACCCTGAGATACTGTAGACAATCAGACTTACTGAATGTTGTTCCACTGGAAGCATTGAAGCACTCTGGCCACTTTCCCCAGCATGCTGCCCTTTTCTTGCCCTGGCTGCTGTGTCCCAGCTCTGCCTTGGACACCTGCCTGATGACCACTAGAATTGCCAGTGAGCCCCCCTGCTTCTCTCTCTTTCTGCCTATCTGTTGTCTTTCTCTGGGACTCAGAACTTTGGTTCCTTTCTATAAGTATTGTGGGCATGGTGAGGGGATGAGAAAATAAGACCCCCCTACCCACTCTCCTAGTTTTTCATGTGCCTAAATCAAAAGGCCACTTGTTAAATCATGTGAAACTTAAGTGCTTTGACTCTAAGAAATAGAAGTAGTTTCTTTGTCCTTACAAACTCTCTCCAAGGATGTAACTTTGTACAATTGATTTTTGTTCTCTTTTCTCAAAGTCACTGTCACATAAATACAAAAAACCTGGATTTCAAATTTTGCTTGAAGTTCGTTCCTAGGAGTTGGTTGGGGACAATCATAGAAACAAATCTGAGTTTTCATTCTTGATACTGTTAAATAAGTATTTTCCCTACATAGACTTTTGAATGTTTTGTCTTAATTTAATTAATATATTTACTTACTAGATTGTCCAGTGGTTGTTTCTTAAAGGCCCATCTGTCATTTCTTTCAACATGTGAGGCTATAATCCTAGACATTTTGTTTTATCTTTCTCTCTTTTAGCAAATAAAACTAGGAGAGAAACAGCTAGGGTTTTGCAATAAAGCGAAAGTGGAAGAGGATGGCCATTTTATTCTTTGCACTTGGCTTCTGCTTGTGGAAAAAAAACTGACAGATCTCACAAAGGTAGCACCCAAGAGGAAAGGACGTGGTCTGTGTTTCAGAATGTAAATCTGAGCTGTTTTCAGGAAGAGAGAGATCTTTTGTGTAATCTCTTAAAGAATACTAATTCATTGATGGCCCTTGTTTTCTACAATTGTGAGTAAAGCAGAATTTTATTCTGGTTTTCATACACAGTTTTACTTGCTTTCCTTACCCTTCCTCTATTGTGTGCTTTATCATGGTCACAGCCCTAACTTCTTTCTTTCCATCGTAGTCATTAACAAATGCTCCTCACTCTGATTAGTGGTTCCAAGAAAATTAATTGTATTGTGTATGTCAGTGGTAAATTGTTTCCTTTTCCCTTAGCCATTTTCTGGTAGCTTGAAAATGAGCAATCTGTTTTAAAATCTTTTAAGTGTGCTTTGCATTTATTTTGGTAGTACTTCACCAGCATCTGTAAGCACCATTAAAATCTTTGACATGATAACAGGTTTCTTCATCAATTCAAAATCAAAGTGGGAAAAAATTTTATGCTAAGCACAGAGGTGTTTTACTAAGTATCTCCAGGGTGAATTAGTTAATTTTTTAGTGGTAAAAATTACTACATCTTTAAAAAGTTATCTGCAATTATGAAGAACTTTTTAGTTATTTTGAATTTTCTCTGTTAGAGCTCAAATCTTTGGACTAAGTGGTTAGTTACACAGATTCTACATGGCAGTCTTCTCAAATCCAGCCCACCTCTGAGCATGTGTTGTTTATGGCTTCATGTTGACATGACATGTGCAGATCCTTAAATTTCTGTTCTTTGGTGGTTCCCTTGGATTTAATGACATGTCTGTCATTAACTTCATAGACTCCCTTTTAGTGTGTGTGTGTGTGTGTGTGTGTGTGTGTGTGTTTAAAGGATTCTTTATTTCTGAGCCATCTCTCCAGCCCCTATTTGTTATA